ACGTCCTTCTTGACCCTGGTACTGACTGTGAACTGACCACGAGCGAGGGTCATGACCTTCACCTGGTTCTGAGCCCGCTCCTGATAATAATACCTTGACCCCGCAGTGACCCAGGGCTTGGCTGAAGCGGGCAGGGACCGCGAAAACATCCGCAGCGAGCTGTTCCGGGAGCTGGAGGCCATCAGGTTCCACAACGGTGAGCAAGACGGGGTGGGGGGAGGGAGGCAAGTGGACCCTGTTCGTGGGCCTCGAGGTGCCAGGATCCTGCCTGCCCGCCTGTGACCTCTGTCCAACAACTCCCCCAACCTCGTCCACCCGGGAGCAACTCCACCTCCCTGGCCCTCACCACCCTGCAGGCTCCTGCAAGCAGTGCCCCGCCTCGTGGCTGCCCTTCGAGGGCTCCTGCTACTTTTTCTCAGTGACGCAGACCACTTGGGGGGAGGCGCAGCGCCAATGCGCGGGCTCCGGCGCTCACCTGGTGATCGTTGGGGGCCTGGATGAACAGGTGCGCACGGAGAGGCGGGGTTCGCCTGAGTGGGCGTGGCCCAGGCGGTGGGGTGGAGCGGGGCGGACCCTAGAGGCTGGGGCGGGGGGCGTCTTTTGCTTTTTTTTTTTTTCCTTTTTTGTGACTGGTAAGGGGATCGCAACCCTTGGCTTGGTGTCATCCGCACCCCGCTCAGCCAGTGAGCGCACCGCCATCCCTATATAGGATCCGAACCACGGGGTCGGCCCGTCTTTTGCTTCTTCCAGGGCTTTCTGACTCGGAATACACGTGGCCGCGGTTACTGGCTGGGCCTGAAGGCCGTGCGCCGCCTGCACAAAATTCAGGGATACCAGTGGGTGGACGGAGTCCCACTCAGCTTCAGGTGAGTAAAGGGCTCCTGGAGAGATTTGGGGAGGAGAACAGCTAAGAACCGAGAAGAAGTGCTTAGGCCAGATTTCAAGGACTCGGCTTGGGCTGGATTATGAGAAATGGGCAGGCTGGGACCCAGGAACTGACTGAGGTTTCAATTCTCGGCATTGGAAAGTTGTCTCCCCNGCAATATCCCACTCAACCATTGCAGCCACTGGAACCGGGGAGAGCCCAATGATGCTATGGGGCGCGAGGACTGTGTCATGATGCTGAGCTCAGGGCTGTGGAACGATGCACCCTGCGACAGCGAAAGGGATGGCTGGATCTGTGAGAAGAGGCTCAGCTGCTGACCCCGCCCAGTGCCCCGCAGCCACGCCACTGCCTCACGTGGTATCACAGTGTCACATGGTAGGCCTCGCTCCATCTTGGCTTCTGGCGCCCACTGCCAAAGACTTTTTTTCTATCCACCACTACTGAGAACCACCCAGCACAACTCACCTTGTCCAGTGCCTGTGCTCAGGGACCTCCGCTCCAAGCTCATCACAACCCCCCACACAGTGACCTACCCTAACCTCTATCTGCTCCAAAATTTCCTCCCCTAAGTTCAGGTAGTTTGACTCCACCTCTCTCTACAACCACAGTCAAGAGACTGAGGGATGGAGCTGTTGGGTTTTCCTGCATTTTCCCCCATGCTGGGAGCTGCCTTTCCAGTCTGAGGGAGCATCAATAAACATTTGAGAAATAAATCTCTCTCCTGGCTCTGGCGGGCTGTTCTAAGCTTTATCCCAGAGACACTGATATGATCTCTGTGAGTGACATCTGACCTCTGTGGTAACCTCTGACACTGTGATGCCCCCAACCTAGTGGGTAACCTGGTCTGGGCCAGGAGGACTTGAAAGGTAAGGGCAGTTTCCCATTCAGCACTGTGACCTCCTCAGCACCTGGCACAAGGCTTGCATCAGAGGGTGCTGGGGACACAGAAATGGGTCAGACCCAGTCCTTACCTCTGGGACCTCCTCATTCTGGTGTAGATGGGCACAGGAACAATGTGACCAGTGATGTAATGAAGGGATTAATGGAGGAGTGACACTTGGTTCATTTGGAGGAGCCATCTTTGTCCTTGGGGAAAGGGACTGTGCTGAGATACTGCAGTGGTGGCCCTGTTTTGGGAGAAGACTGTCACCCCATTGTGGAGATGACAGGCAGCCTGAGGCAATGCCCTGGGGCA